CGTGCCTTTTTTCCGCCAAATCCGTCGATCCGCCAATATTTTTGTTCAAATCCGAAACCACAACCACATCCGAAAACAGAAGTGTAAAAGTTTAAAGGTAAACTGGTAAATGTGAATGCCCTTGTTAATTTCGCACAAATATTAAAGAAGGCAACATGCTTGATGATTATAATACAGTACAATTCCAATAACAGTCTCACACCTGAGTTGAAATGAGCTTCGTTCGAAAAAAGAAATAATTTGGATGAACTCATTAACATACCGACCAAGGCTGAAGAAAGACCTATGATCCAAATTTCGTTTAGGACCCAAGATCCGAACATCAAGGCAGGTACAATCCGGAATCCGCGCCAAAATTTACAGCTGATCCACGATCCACTGTGTTTTCAAAATCCGCGAATTCATCCGTTCGATTTACCGCAAAAATGCACAATCCGAGCGCTTTTTAAGGCCAAATCCGTCGATGCGAAAGCCTATTCAACCCCCTCCTTAATAATCATAATTCGCCGTCGTGCTTGGAATAAAAACGAACCATAGTTGAGTCAGTTCACTCACCAAAACAGAGGAGTACCAGACCACTGCACAATTGCTGGGCAAACGCCATGACTGTCCACACAATGAGAAATGAACAGAGCGAGGGGAACACTCCTTATATAACACTAGAAAATACAAATAATTAATCAATCTTTTTGACATTTATTTAGCATTTGATATTAGTTCCTAGCCCTTTTTAGTTTTCAAGTCATAATGGTAATTTTGTTTCGTTAAGAACACTTGTGAACACTTGGATCCTAAAGAGTGTGTTCTTTTATGTCTCCAAGCAGTTTCGACAAAAACACTTCCGCTATTGTTCAGTATTTTTATCTTTCATTCTGGGGGTATCTGTGACATATTTAGAAAAAGTCTTCTCATATTCTATCTCTAGGTAAAATAGAATATGTGTTACTATTTCACTGTTTAGTATTTGCCATCTCAAATATTGGATGATGGAGTGTGGTTATAAGACACCGCTATTTCCATCGCTAATGCCTTGAATAAACAGAAAAAAAGGAACAGAAAATAAAAACAGAGCCAAAAACTCTCTTTAATTCTCATCTTTGTTCGTGTATTTGGGTCGTTCTCGTGTTTTATCAAGATGACAAGTTTGAATAAGCACTCAATGTTGCTAGGTAACTCGTCTGTTTGGTGTTGTGCTGTGAGAAAAACATTTTCGATTAAAATGTCCTCTGCACGTGAAGTCATCTGAAGTATCTTCACACACATATTGAGGCATTGTTTTGAAAAATATTGGAGAAACCTGGGACTACAGAAATATCACAAAAGGTTTATGCTGGCAAAAATCTTAATATAAGTACTTTTTCACTTCGAGGTTTCTTTTTATCGCGTGACGGGTAAACTGGCTGTTATTTGTCTTGCTAAATGAGCCAATATACAGTTTTACTTGGAAACTGAACGTTAGTCACGGTTTAAAACGACGTAGAACACGACTATATACACAGTTAAAATCCCTGTAGTATTTATACATGAACTATAATGAAGATTTTCTTTTAAGATCGTAAATAACATTGAAGTAGAATGGATTAATTTGTCCACGCCTCCGTGCTTTCATGACAAAAACAAACTTACTAGTGAGACTCAATTAGAGCGTATAATGTCAAGTTAATAATATAATCAAGAATTTTTCTTGGTGAAAAACAAAACTCAATATTCATATTGGTTTCGTTGAGAGTTTTATCTTTAAGCGGATCGTATGTGCATTGTTCAGATCGATTATTCAGGTCTTATCACCTGTGTACCAATTTTTGACTCGGTTTAATTCTTTCTTCACACTATACGTCCGTAATGCGTGCCGATCAAACATTCCAAACGTTATACGTGTGCTTCAATAACACACGCGTAACTTGTCTTGAGAGTCAACCGAGTAAACAGTCTAGTTGCTATAGGAACGCTATGGTGTTTGCTTGCCATTTAGCTGTGGTCTGTACCGGACTTATCTAAACATAGTGATGATAACATTGGGCAATGGCAGCTTAGTAAGCTATCAAACACGATTTGAAAGTTCTACAACACGAAGTATTTAAATATTTCCGTGCCAGCTATTAAATGAGTAGCAGCAAACAAAAGATGAAGAAAATAGTTCAAGTGCGCATTTATTTGCGGTCTCGTTATTAAGCACTTTTAATTTCGCGCAATGGCACTTGCAATAACTTCCCCATGTAACTGCTTATTAAAAAACAGAGCTGTATCCGCTGGCTTCTTTTCCTAACTAGGGAGTCAATATATTGTTCCTTATCGCAAAATCTGTTCTTAATTTGTTGTGAATAAAATATAATCGTGCAACGGATGTGTTATTTCCATCCCTCCCGATATTACCAATCTCTTCCGTTATTACGTACAGCCATTTCTTTCGTGCTAAGTTTTTCTTTTCAGTCGAGATAGTTGTTTCGAAACCTCAGTATAAAATTTGCGCCAAGTATAGCATAGGCCAAATGAAATGTTGTTCGAGTCGCAATCCATCAGTTCAAACGTTTTGAGCTGAGGTTGGTTTGGCTATGTTAACCGTTAATATGTTATATGTTTACTTGTAATTTCCACTTCCACGGGCCAATTAATTTATTCTGTTTAGGTCATGCCGTGAAGAGACCTTTTTCAGTAGGAATGTCCATGAGCTCCTAAATATTTTAAGTGATAACATAGTAAAACGTTGAAGAAATCACAATTCGTTTTCTTACTTCGTTTACTTCGTTTAGTTCAGTGCTTAAATTTCCACTTCTACGGGCCGATTAACTAATTCTGTTTAGTCCATACAATAAATAGACCCTTTTTTTTAGAAGGAATGTCCACGAGAGCCTAAATAATTTAAATGATAACATCGCTAAAACGTCGAACAAATCGTAATTCGTTGACTGATTATTATTACAAAAACACATGGATCTGATTTTTTGTAAAGTAGAATGATTGCAAAAGTAAATGCGTCCAATCTTTGTTCCGAGCCTATAATAGCAGGTAATACAGAGTATACCTGGCTAATTACAATATGACCGGACTTCCTGCGCATGCGCATAGAAACAAGAATATTCTTTTCTTCGTTTTGATGGCGAGGCTTATACCAGCAGGACTGACTAAAAGCACTCAATTATATGGCCTGTTATTTTATTCGTTTGAATAATTTCGACAATAGACTATAATTGAGGAGTTAAAGCCACTGGGACAGCGCCGAGGACGACGTTGATTCACACACAAAAAAAATAATAAGCAATTAAAAGCCTGTTTATATTTTCACCTACGAATCTCCATTTGCAGTTATCTAGTTCTAACCATTAACTTTGTTATCGGCTTCTGAACTGACTATGTTAAGGCAATGTTTATTTCCACATAGAAACTTGAACAATTTACCATCTCGGGTCTACGTACGTTGCCCCAAAGAATTGTGCGATTTGGCGCCGTTTGGAGAAAACGCACTTTCCAAGCCGGGCATAAGTCAACTTATTGAATATTTTCGGTTTCCCACCAACTCCTGTTATGGTTTGCTTAGCACCCCATTTTCAGTTGACCTTGAAGGTATTTGGCTCAGTAACTGAGGCTCATTCCTAGCACTTCAGTTAATTACTTGATATAAGTAGTTCCACAGGACTAAGTCGGCTGACGTCACATGCACAAGTGCTAAGAATTCCTTAAAGTATTTTTGTCCAGTTAGTTATTTTAGCTCCCAAAGAAACGTTTTACCGCTGCGTTTGTTTTATGTTGCTACTGTCCTTTGTCCGTTCAGAAAGCCTGCCTCCAACATGCTCCAAATTTTAACAAAATTACTCAAAGTTGCTCAAAAATATCTAAACGTTGCTAAAAAGTTGCTCCGAATTCTTAAAAGTGCTACAAGGTTGTTATGATATTAACTACAACAAGTTGCCCTATTGCACAATTTAAAAAAGATTTATATCCATAATCACTTTTTTGATTGACCTTTACTAACAAACTAACTTCTAACTTGCCGAAGCGAGTTACAACAGTATATCATTGTCGTCAAATACTTCTTCAGATCCGACTGACTCGAGCATGATGAGACATCATTATCTACCAACTACTGACTGCCTAATGACGTACTTATTACCATATGGGAAGGGAGGGAATTTGGACAAATTCGGGTAATTTTTACCTTGGGGATTTCCGGTCAGATTTACTGGTACATCACAGTTATTACAAAGTGAAATTAATTAAGTTTTTTCTTACATGGATATCTTCTCAATTCTTAAATAATCAGCTTCTAATACCCATAAACAATAAAGTTCAAACTGTTAAACACCTTGTTTTATTTTGGTGTTTCACCTATGTCCGAGGTATAAGAAGCCCAAAAATACATTGTTTATTATCCAATATATTCGCTTAACACGCTTAAGTAACCTACAGTTCGAGGTGACACTACTCCACTGCCATTATGGAAACCCCGAAAAATGTATTAAATCTATTAACTCAAGAAGCTCAAAAAACAGCTCTTTAACTTTTAGAAAGAGATTATCAAGGTGAGAGAGTCAGTACCCACACAAGCAAAGGAGCTTCGGCTGTCGCTTTGGTTGGAGACGTCGTCGTCGTAGGGCGTACCTAAGAAGGGTTGCATGGTTTTCTATTTCTATGCATGCATGTGGTTCTGTTCCTATACTGAGTTATGGTGCTTCGCTTAGCGGCCGTTGGGACGAAAATAGCTGTTGTTGTACTTGTGGCCTTCTTAAGTGTCTCGCGTGGGCGACCTGGGACGAGGGTATTCATTTTACCCACGTACCCCACTCGGGATGGGAGGCAATTTGTGGCCTGCAGAGCTCAGAGCGCTTGTTTTGAAGACAGACGGGTTTTTAGGCTCGGTTTATTTGGCCACGTATTGATAATTTGTATTAATTAAAGCTATTTAAAGATGTGTGAACATGGAAGGCGATTTTTAGAAAAGCCTATTCCGCTGCCCCCATGATGTTTTACTCCCCTACCCCTCCGTGGTGCTGCACATATATAGATCTCGAATCTGGTAATGGCGGCCAAGTATGATTTTCAGCGTTTGCTAAGGTTTTCGCTCTCTAAATGTTGTTGATCTCACAGTATGCCTGTTTAATGATGGCTTACAGATTAAATCGCATGCTGCTGTTTCCTTTGTGTTCTGATGTGGCTAAAAATGGGAGGAATACGTGGAATTCCTTCCGAAGTTGTTGCACGTGTTTGCAGCGACCTAACGATCAACCAAAGCAGTTTACATCGAACAACAGGAACTGTCTTGTTAAACCAAGAGGTGTCCAACAAGCTGCAAGGAGGAACCACCAGACCTTGCCAAGTGATTTTAGTGCACACTTACCAAGTTTAAAACAGATGGAGCATTTCTTATCGAGCCGTAAAGTTTTGTTCCAGCATGGGCACACGTCACTGATAGCAAGTTGTCCATTTTGTGCTAGTAAAGAGGAGGGAACAGACAGAGCAAAAACATTCACACTGTACATCAATAAGACTACTGGAAGTCATTTTTGCAGTAACTGTGGCTCATCTGGGAGTTGGAGACAATTTAAGGTACATAATTAAGCACCACCCCGGGAAATGGCGGGAACTTCGACTTTTGATGAGCAAAATGCGTGGCAAAATGTTTACATAATGCAAAATGTCCAGGTAATCTCTTGGACCCTCTTGCAGGATGATCAAAAGTTAATACAACTTTTTGCTGTAGAATTCAGCACGTGCAATTTGAAGGATGTATTGAATTTGCTTTTGGTTAAGAGCTTTTGACTTCTACACTGTGCATATATTGACAAGCTTATCACCCTCTCGGAGTGTGGGGGGTACTTGGATCAATTTTTGCTGGGTATGTGCTGCTGACCTGTGGCTTCTCAGAACCCCTACCCTATTATGGTCTATTTTGAATCCCTACTTGCCAGAATTTTCTTACCCCCTAAATCCCGAAAATGTGTGACCCATTGAGAATGCAACATGTTATATTCAATACAGTCGTGAAAATGCAACCCTATCTGTGAGCTGCTAGTAAAGCGGGCATTAGAAGATGAGTGGAAAGAGAGACTGCAATGGTTTCATACAACATTTTGGATGCCTGGCACTCTGGTGATGGAGTAATTCTATTGGTCGGTCTACAAAGTTATAACGCACATCTGTCAGTAACCTTTATAAGTGACATGCAGTGCATGACAAACTCTGTTGTAATGTTTGTCTCCTACAGTGTGACTCCTGCAGTTTGCGACATAATTGCCACTCCATTTTTAATTTTAATCTTGCGACCTTTTTATTGGTGTTATGTTTCACACTTGTTTTTGAAGGACTGTGGTATTAGGAGGACTTTAAAGTAGAGTAGAGCACAGGCGACCGGAGCTCTCAATGTTATCCTTTTTTTTTCACTTTTATGCGAATGGTCAGCCTAATGTGACATATGGCATACACTATTTAAGTTACTGTCACAGGTCACCCTCATTAAATAAAGTCTTTCACTTCACTTCACTTCACTATTACATAACGACCGAATTTGACTACGCCAAACATGACTCTGGCCTTGTGTTACAACGGTTTGAATTTATAAAGGTTTTTATGAGAATGCAACGGCTTTGCTTGAAAAGTCAATTATTCTTATATTTTGTGAATAAAATCTACTTACCCTGTTACTGTGTTGTATTCTTTGTTGTTTGCCGTCTCCTCAGGCCGATCTAATGCGATTTCGGCAAGTTATCGTTCTGTGGGTTTCCACTACTAAAAGAAAGACAAGGCTGGACACTGATTTCCGGAGTGCCCGCTGCTCAAAGTGAATAAATCCACTGAAAATAACCCTTCCGGGTCAATTCCTTCATAGAATCAAAGAAGAGATGTTGAAGTTCCATGTCAGTTCACTTGCTAGGCGATTCCGTCCACAATGCCTTCGCAACGATACATTTATTTCGAGAGTGGTTCGCTCGCAAATTCGAAAACAGCCGCTTCACAAAAGTTAGGACACTTTCGCGGTGTTGGGTAACTGTAATTAGCCCGACCGGGGGTATTCAGCAACGATTTGTCAACAGTCAAACCAAAATGCTCTCTGGGTACCCTCATGCTTTATTTGTGAAACCCATAAAGGGAGTACCTGGTTACCCGCATAGCATTTTGATTTGACTGTTGACAAATCATTGCTGACTACCCTGCAGTCGGAGGTTGCATTCTCATACAAAACTTTATAAATTCAAACCGTTGTAACACAACACCTCCATATGCTGCAAGGCGAGAGTCACGTTTCGCGTAGTCAAATTCGGTTGTTATGTAATAGTGTATGCCATAGGTCACGTTAGGCTGAACGTTCGCATAAAAGTGAAAAAAAAGGATAACATTGGGAGCTTGGGTCGCCTGTGAGTAGAGCTGTTTTAATGAGCAGTATGAAAATTCTTGACAGGTCATAGGTCTGGTTTCAGCTGCAATCTGTTGAAACATTCATCGCATCTTACCAGATATAGCTTTGATCAATTTTCATAAAAAAATCAGACACCGGAGTGTCATAGTCAAAAAAGGCAGAGGCATTGTGATGTGACCTGTCAAAGTAGCATCCAAAATGTTGTATGAAACCATTGCAGTCTCTCTTTTCGCTCGTCTTCCGATGCCCACGCTACTAGCTGCTTGTGGCATCACTGCTCGCCTCTTGCACGTCATGCTCACAGTGACACTCGCATGCTCACTTGTTTTGCATTCTTCCTCGTGGATCTTTGAGAAAAAGAGAGACTGCTCACAGTCTAGGACAAATTTGAAATATGCACTTGTTAAACAGAGTTTAGGTTGTTGTTACCTTTTTTAAAAAGTTTGTTAACAAGTTGTTTAAAAATTCTTCCCTCAAAATTATTCCTGTATAAAGGTGCTAAGAAATTTGATAGGTTCGATCTACAGTGATTTGTTAAGTTGATTTAGTTAAAGCAAAACTTATTTGAAAAATATCAGACCAAGGACAAAATGGATGAACCATCAAATACCCTGATAATCCAATTTATCACCCTCATTACAGTCCGCTCCATTTTCATTTAAGGAGTTCTGGTTCAGTGCTAACAGTCTGCATTGTTCAGTAATTTTGCCAAGTCCCTTTTCCTGTGTCAGTGGCTATAGAGATGTTCAACAAACTGAAGATATGTTATATGACAAAAACATGACATATCACATATCTTCTGTTGACCTTATTGCAAATTGAGAAAGTCTGTGGCAAAATAAATTATTTTGTTTATTTTGTTGATAGAGGTAAATTAACCACTGTGTTCTGTAGTCTATGAAGCTGACATTTCAAGTGCTGGCCCTAAAGGATTTAAACCAGACATTGGGCCACTGTTTTAAATTTATCATGATCATTAAGGCCACAACAAACAAGAAAACATTTTTGCTCAAAATGTTTCTAAGCGAGAAGAGGTGCAAGGGAAAGGTTTTGTTGTTTCAAGGTTTTCTTCCTCTTATTATTTTCCCAAGCCATCCTTTCCTGGGAAAAAAGAACTTGATCTCACTGTACCTATACAGGACATGCATATATGTGCAATTATTTCTGATTTCTCTTTAACCATATGTTTTGTAGATGGCTTTACAAGAGGGACCCAGTAAAGAGAGTATCAAGCCTTGTGCAAGTGATAGTCATTCTAAAAGCAGTGATGACCTATCCAGCCAAATATGGGAAAGGTCCACACCACTGACTCAATGCAATGATGATGTGTGGGAGAAGTTCATAACACAATTCTCAATAAAGGTGTGCTCATCGGTTTCATAGTAATTCCAGTGTACAAAGAAGATGTGAAACATTAGGTAACCAAAAACTAGGTTGATTTCGATCTTTTGTTTCATTTACTTTGTATCTTAACCTTTACAGGAATTGAGAAAGGATATGTTGGAAAAGTTTCAAGTCAGAATTACTGAGCATGAGGTAGTGAATTTAATGTTTGTGTAAATTGAAATAATGTTGTTTAAATTTTCAGTGCCAATAATTTTCAAATTAAACCTCCAGTGTTAATTTTTTAAAGGGTACAAAACTGTCCTGGAAATAATTCATGTTTTAAGTTTTACAATAATTATTATTAATTTTCCTGAGAGACCATTTCCAAATTATCCTAAGTGGAAGTGCCAACATTATATTGTATACACATGTATGTTCTCAGTAGGGTATTAACTGTATGTATAGACCCACTGAAACTAGAGTAAAAGCAGATTTGCATATATTATTGTTAATATATATTCCCCTCTGTCAATTAATAGTTTAAGGAGCCTAATGGAAAGACCAAGGAACATGATTGCATATTGTTCCCCTGGTATGATTCTGCCAGGTCAGTGGTGAAGGGCATCAAGCTTGTAAAGCTGCAGGGATCTGACTCATCTGATTCAAGCATTGCTATAGAACCTCGGTAAGAATACTGTCAGTTTCCAAGACAACAATGTGGAGCATACAATTATGTGATGTAGGAGGCCAGGTATAGGTTCAATCACATTCACACTCTGCTGCCACAAACTCAGTCTAGAAGAGCACATGCGTTAGAACTGTGGAGTTGATTCACTACTTTCCTCAAGTAGAATAACAGCATTACTAATTTACAAGTGGCTGTTACAGTCTCTTGTAATGTGTTGACTACAGTTACACCATTGACTGGAGATATTCCATTAGCAATCAGCTCTTTCCCTGTCTGAAGAAATATGTATTGAACTACTTAACCAATACATGTAGATTCCCTGTTGCCACGTGTCTGTTCAGGAATAGATCATAGATGACGTCAAAATGTGGTAAGAACAAAAAAAGTGGAGCATGAGCTGTTAGGCGAGTGTGTTACGTATAAATATTCTTACTGCATTTTGACATCTTCTGTGATCTATTACTGAACAGATGTACGGCAACATGGACTCTACTTGTTTTATATAATAAGGAGACATCAAAGAATATTAGTTACATCAACTATGCTTCTGTCCTCCAACAGATCATAAGTAAGAACCAATCAACATGTGAGAATAATTTGCCTTATTATATATAAAGAAGTAGATTTTGGCATCAGTCTGTTTCATTGTCTGAGACTTGATTAAAATGAATAATAATCAGTACAGAAACTCTTTATTTCCTCTGTTGAGTTCACCACTTTATTCAGTTTCAACTGCACAATCAGTTACTGTTGTTGATTAAAATGGAGTCTTAATTTTTGTAACATTTTCTTTGTTATAGTCAGGGTTTCTTGGGACTGTTTGGTTGGAATACAGTAGATGCTGGAGCTAAAGAGGTTGGTTACACCAACAGTTCAATTATAAAAATGGGTATCACCAAGCAAAATTTGAGCTGAGGCGTGCGATGCATACCATTTGGCAGAGACCAAGGGCCACTCACAGTCACATGTTTGCCTCTTCTCGAGTGGTGCCATTAGAGTCAGTGAAATCAGCCACTGGGAAAGATAGTTCAGGAACATCACCTGTATTAATTAACTGTTGGTATGGTAACCTATTATGCCATAAAATTACCATTATTGCATTGTCAAATGGCTGGACATTTATGCAATACCACTATTGTAGCATCATAATTTTGTTAACAGTTGTAATATTCATCCATCAAAGTATAACTGTTGGAAAAGCGCTGGGAACCTGCTGCCAGCCTTCATAATAAAATTATTGAGACATGTCCATGCATCATGGGTTTTTGAGTAAGTAAATCTTACTTTATTTTGGTCAATTTTAGGTTGTGTTGACATTAACAGAGTTTGATGCTATTGCTGTAAGTCAGTCAACATCCTATCCAGCTATTTGTCTTCCACTGGGAGCAAATTCTCTCCCTCTTGAGGTTTGTAGACTTATAATTATGCTGTTGTTGAAACTAAAATTTTGTGTTTGAAATGTTTTAAACCAGTTCTGTTTGACTTTGTGTAGGTAATATTGATGCAAATCAGAGTACCAAAATATTGGTATTACACATGCTTTCAGTGTTATGTGCATAGGCAACATCTTTCTACCATTTTTCGACATGCTATCTCTTGATGTGCTATGCAACCTGGCCTATGTCAAAAATGTGAGCACAACAGACTTCTTTTATATGGTTGAACTCAACTTTAGTCTTGAAAGAATAAGGCTAGGAGTATTAAGGAGTCATTCTGTGAGAGATGAATAGACTGTTTTGAAAGCGGGTGCAAATGTGGAATGATGTAATAAAATGATGCAAGATGTCTTGGTTGAATAGTCCAGGAGCTGGCAATTATGGGTAAAAGAATGCTCCTGAAATGAGAACCCTTGACCAATCTCTACAATGCTAAATTCAATTCAAATTTTTTTTTTTNATTTATTCACGTCCTGTAACATAAGCAACCAAGGAACTTTAAGTTCATGAAGAACTAACACCAAATTTATCATCAAACCTTGACAGCCAGTGGCATTACAGAGAAACTGTAATGTAACTGCAGCTCAGGGTAACGATGTCTTAATTTACATTGACTGATTACTACCAAGTCTGACAAACAATGTTTCATCTCAAGCTCTGGCCAAACGATCACAGCATTTCAACCAAGCATATCGCAACATTGTCGGGCGCTACATGTTGTGCACGTTTGACCACCTTGTGATGTGTTGGGACATGTTGGGTGTTGTTGGTTTAAGTTTGATCATTTTCAACAGTAGGTTGTCCAACATTGTTGCGATATGTTGCATTGAAATGTTGTGATCGTTTGGCTGGGGCTTCACCCTGCAGATCACTTCTATTCAGGGTGTCAAGAATTATCATGAACAACATTCCTTTTCAGCACTGCCCTCAGCTTCACCATGACACTTGACAAATTGATTGTTTACATGTACATACTGGTATATATAAGAAGCACATATTTCTTTTCCTCAGGGTTGTGACCTTCCATCCTTAGTTTCCAAAGCTCAACCAATCAGCCACGAGAAAATCACTACTTTTCATCAGGTGTGGTCTTCAGGTTCCTAATAGTAAATTCTTCATTTTGTTTTTAATCTGCTTTGGTTGTTTTCTGAGAGTATTTGATGTCTATCAGTTAAAATAGACCATTACTGCTGTGCCATATTTGTTGAAGATTGATTTCTTAGTGGTTCAAAACTTAATTCTTTCTTCCCTAAGCTTTCGTACTTGGAGTTTGAATTAGATAATGTGATCTTTTTTTTCTGTGATGTGTTTGGTTAATTTCTTTGTGTTTTGTAATTTTAAACGTCTTTGTATTGCTTTCAACAGTTGCGAGGTGAAGTGTTTGATCAATTTGTTAATGCAGATCAAGTGGCTGGAGTGAAGGTTTGTAACTATCTTCTGCCATTATGAACATGCAATCTGAGAACAAGAGAAAATATTGATCATGTTCAAACAACAGCATTGTTTTTCAATAAAGTGCTTTCAGTTTTTCACCTTAAGGTTTTGAAAATGCATAAATGCTTATCAGTAATCTGTATTTTCATAGTGGACCCGATTTCCGAAATTAAACAGCGTTCTAAAAGGTTTGAGGCGAGGAGAAGTGACAGTTTTTACTGGACCAACCGGCGCTGGAAAAACCACCCTACTGAGTGAAATGTCCCTTGACCTCTGTATGCAGGGGGTGGGTAGAATTTTAAACAGTTTTATAATGTAACTCACTGTGCAGAAGGGCCTACTGGATGGAAAAATACATACATTTAGGAAGGTCTGTGCAACATCATGAGCAAAGTATTTAATTTTCCGATTGCCCAGCGTGACCTACATATGATGAGTAACTTAACATCACACCATCTTTATTGATTGTGATGTCGTTTTAAATTGTTCGGCTTTCAAATTTTTGCCTTGAACTTGGCCAGAGAGGTTTTCCAGACTGGCTTCTCTTTAGCCCATCTACACATTCGATTGTAGGGCTGTCCGTTGGTATGATCATATATCACTACAAAGTCATGTATCGACCTTTAGAGTGAAAAAATGCGAAACTCCACTTGAAACCCAGAACAGTGTCTTTTTTCTAAACTCAGAAATTGCCAGTACAAAATGTCTGTGATGAGGTATTTTTAGAAAAGTAAACGTTTATCCATTTGAATTTTTAATTTCTTGTAAAGGGTAGTTTTGACATTGTTTACTGAACGAGTGTGTTTTGCTTGACATATTTGTTTAGGTGAACACGCTGTGGGGAAGTTTTGAGATTCGTAATGTGCGCCTTGTAAAAATGATGATGTGTCAGTATTCAGGGTAAGCCGTTAAGATCGCTGATTAATGCATGTACTAGCAGATTTAAAAAAAATCGCTATTAAAATAGCCTATCGCAAAATTATATTAATTGTTTAGGTTTCGGCTTCTTTCAATAGCATAGCAAGTTGTTTTGATCAGTGAGGCTACAATATGGTTTTAGGATACACTCTGCTCCAAACTAATAAATAACAAAATTAGTGAAATATTTGGGAACAATACTTCACGCCCATCGTTTAACGCAAAGGGTTGCCTCAAGTACATGTGTCTGAGTTGATATAAATGAGACCTAAAAGTCCCCACTACACTCCTCTACGTATAATACTATTTGTAAACTTGAAGAGCACTGTCTTTTTGTAATCTTTGTAATCGTGATTTTTTTTACGAGTTCCATAGACATGTATGCCGCGAGTGAAATGTTCGCAAGGATGGAATAAAAGATTTCTGATTTCGGTACAGGTTTTGATAATTATAGTAGCTATGTTTCGTTATGCGTTTTCCATTTTGCTGGGTACCTTGACTAGAACAACAGAGCGTCATAACATTCAAGTTTTGAAGTACGATGTTCAGGAAAACAGACTGCAAAAAGAAAATTGAATAATTTAAAGCAGGCCGGAATCTGTGCTGCTTTTCTCAACCGCTTAAAAAAAATCAGTGAATACCGAAGAATACTAAGGGAAGTGATAGTGTAATACTATAGGTGATGTAATTCATTTCTCCCTCAGGTTGAATTTGGAGAAACAGGTTGAGCAATTTCAGTACTGGGCAGACAGTTTCGAGATGCTACCAATGTACTTCATGTGTTTCTACGGAGCTCAGAATATCGAAACAGTTGTTGAGGTAAGTAACGCTCGCTGTTCACCCCTACTGTCGCAGTTAGTCATTTAGTGGTAAGGTGGATTTTTTTCCTAAAAGTGATGAGAACTTCAATATAGTTTTTCCTTTCCAGACTATGACTCATGCTGCTTATGTATACGATATTGAACACGTCATCGTGGACAACCTGCAGTTTATGACGTCATATGTTAGGTACAGCATTATGTGAAATGTTTCTCTTGAAAACGTTGGTCAGTTGACCTCTTTTATCTTTTCACCTCACTCCAAGAAGAACTTTATTTTTTACACCCTAAGAAGTTGTTTTTTTGCAATTTCCTTTCAGCCGTGGGGACGATCGATTTTTTACCCAGAATCATGTTATTTCTGCACTGAGGAATTTTGCGAGCACCAAAAACGTGCATGTTACGTTGGTCATTCACCCAAGAAAGGTTTGTCAACGTGCACATTTGAATATCCATGTCTGTATGTCACGTACGTATATGTATGTCTGCAGATATACCGCATACTTTTCAATTGTGGTTTTACCGTTTTGTCTTTGCAAAAATATTGGAGATTGTCAGAATTTTCGTTGTGTGCTGGCAACGTTACTGTGGGAAATTAAGAATTGGTGAACGCTATTCAGAAATTAGAGCAGTCCCATAATGAATAGATGTTTTAGTTCAGATTTCCTGGAAACTCCCAAAACGTTTTTAAATGTGGCTAAATATGATTTAGGCAAAGTTAGACTCGAACCAATGCAGTCAGCGGTTTCCCCTTTTACAGTACGTGACTTGCAGGGCGGCCCTTTGGAGATTTGCAGGGCTGTTGTCTCACGTTGCATTGCACGTATTGTGCTGCCAGCTGATCGTTGCGGATCATTTGCTTTGTACTTTGGCGAATCTTTGCGGATTCTCGCTCTAAGTACTGCTTGTTTTTGTCGCTGTTTGACGTGATGCACACCAGAAACACGCTTAACAGCTGGTCGGCGGCTTACGATGCCTTGTCTCTCGTGCCGGAGTCCAAGGAAATTCCTCCGCCACCAGTTTCAACGCCATTGGATTCTAGTGTGGCCTCAACAACTGCGTCCACTACTCCTTCATCTGTTTTATCACCAACGTCTCCCGCCTTTCTGGCCGCCGTCGCAAACGCCGTCCAGCAAGTACTTTCGGCCCAGCCAGTCGCAGGCCGTCCTAATTCTAGTTCTTCCACGAGCGTGGCCATTTCCGGAGGCGTTTCTGCTCCGCTGGCTAATCCTAGCCAACTTGTCGCCCAAGCCTCGTCTTTTGCCACTTCTGGCTTTGGCTTTGCATCCTCTTCACCGGCCACGGCGACTCCTCTTGCTTCAGGAAGGCCAAATAATTTTGTTGTCCCTACCTTTGTGTCGACCTTCTCNGCTGCCAGCTGATCGTTGCGGATCATTTGCTTTGTACTTTGGCGAATCTTTGCGGATTCTCGCCCCTTCCCGTCCCTCCCTCTTGGTTGCTGGTCTCTAAGTAAGTATGGGTCAGGTAAATTGTTTCCACTGATTCAATCAGTGTGACGGTGCCAGTTAGCGGCTGCTTTTGGGGGTGGTTCCCGCTTCCAGGGTTGCCATGGATACCTCCCATTCCGCGTACGGCTTCTGCTCCCCGCTAACCTTTCAGGCACCAGTTCCCAAGCTCATCTACTTAATTTCCTATTCCAATCAATCCTGATTCCAATGTATGAAGTAGTGCTTTAGAAATACTAGGAATTTTTTTCATTGACCAGAAAATTCAACGCTATGTTCTTCACACGCGTACGTGAAACTCGTTTGTGTCTTATATAAATGGTATTTTGTTATTAGCTGCCGTGTCTACCTAAGAAGGCACACAGTACGTAACTTGTCAGACATAATGGTCTACATTGAGTATGTCTAGGTAATACGACGCGTAAAACCCGTATATTGACAAAGAAATGGTGAAGAAAGAAATAAAGGAGATGGTTGGTCGCTCGATTACAATTTTTTTTGCCTGAGCGGATTCCCAGTTTGCTGAAATAACTTTTTTGATTCATGCATGTCGTATTTAACTAGACGAGTGATTTGTCTCGGACGGATAATGCGTCTGATGTCAACACGTTTCATTTTCCGTATTTCCCTAGAAGTAAATTAAAAATGCGGCGATTTCAGTTTGCTACAAATCAATTCAGTAAATACAGCCGAACCTCCTCTGCCGGACACCTCATGTTGGCGGACATTTGCAGTAAGCGGACACTCGTCAAGGTCCCAGCTCTGCTAAATACAAACACTATATTTTAACCGCCAGTAGCCCTCTGGTTCCAACGGCGTCCGCTCGCGACAGGTTCAACTGTATCTATATCTTCAAGAAACTATTCTACCGAGTTGCAGTTACTAAGCGATGTTGAGCCCTTCTCGACGTTGTGTTATATTTTTCTCAGGAAAATGATGATGTTGAACTTCAAACAGCGTCTATTTTTGGAACAGCGAAAGCAAGCCAAGAAGCAGACAATGTGATCATACTTCAGAGCAAGAAAGGATCAGCCGAAAAATATCTGCAGGTTGTTTAACGTAGTTTAACATTCTTATCTTGGTTGTTTATTGTCAAATGCTGTAGACCATGTAGAAAAAGCATGTCCCTTAGTTGTAGCGTAAATAAGGCATTTCTTGTGGATGATAGGTTCCATTTGGCTTGGCAAGATCTTCCATTCTAGAAATGCAACAAGCGCTCGAGGAAAATCGAACATTTGGGCTCCATCCCCATGCAGTATCTATCAGAATTATTTTTATAAACCAGTTTCTAGCGTGACGACAGTTCGGCGCGTAGCGCTGTCACTGAAGTTATGAGCGAGTATTTGGTACGACACTAAATGACGGGTGGAAAAGCATTTAAAAAGAATGGTGGGGTCGCCGACTCAGCTTGCAGCTAGCCGATTATGCTATCAGTTAAAGATCAGTCGCGGTATTTTGTCATTTTGACCACGCGCAAAATTGCCTTTAAAGTGAAAACCTGAAAATAGTAGTTTTCTAAGATAGAAAAACGCCACAGAGATAATAATAAACCATAAAGGAACAAGGATGGTTAAGGATGGAGAAGATTAACACGGATTACAAACCGACGAACTTGAAAAATTTAGGCTAAACGAACTTTTCAAGATGCGCAAACCAGTATTGCTCATGTTGTTTGTCTTTAAAACAGGTCACGAAGAATCGCTTCGATGGCGTACTTGGTCGCGTCCCGTTAGACTTTGTCCGGGAATCTTTATCAATGTCAGGATTTGGCAAAACAGCCCAGCCAAAGAAACCAACACTGAAACTTGATAAGGCACATCCCCAGAAGCTCAAAGTAACTCGACTGGGAGCAGATGTAGATATTGCCAAGTTTTCAGCGCCTAAAATGGTTCGCACAAACAAAGTAGTTGACAGAAAATCAATTGCGCCAAAGCCTACTTCAACAGACAACAATGATAGTACAAAAGATGACCCAAAAGACGGCAATAAGCAGGAAAATGGATTGAATGATGCGCTTGAGAAAAGAGACAGCGCACCTGATGTGATATCAGCTAAAAAGAAGGAAAATGTGCAAAAAACGGTCAAGAAAATTCTAAGTGGAACGCGCTTGTTCACTAAAGCTGTAAATGGTCCTCGGAACAGTAAAGGTATATCTGAACAAGACAAGGCTATCAGAAAACCACAAAGCCACGAAATTTGACGGAAGTAACTACCAAACATACACTCCTGGAATGTTCAACGGAAATATGATGGAAATATGATGGAAAGTTGTTAAAACAGAGCTCTGATTGAAAAATGAAATTTGTTAAATACTAAATTGGTGTGGAGTTTGCGGTATCTCAAAATCTTCGATACACTGGACTATTCCGGTGACGTAGACAGTCTGTAGCGCAGTTTACACTCGGCGAGACTACTCAAAAATACGCCTTACAAGAAAAAAACACCTGGCCAAAACACAAACTGACGGTATGGAAAGTTGTGATAAGATGGTTTCTTGGTTCCAGATTATTTTTCTTACTCCTTCCCTACCCCCTCTCGCAGGCGCCGCATTATGGTACATTTTGTCAACAGGTTTTAGTATGAGTATTTTTGGAGCGTTTCCGCCACGTCGTTGGACTTCCTTTACCAAAATTACGACACGATTGAAGTCACCCTCATCAACATAAAAGGATTTTATTTCGCCCTCTGCCTCTGCGCAGCACAACAGATTCTTTACAAACTAATATGTTGCACACATGTATTATAAGTAGCTGGTATGTAGACTAGTAAGTGCTTTCTCGTGTCATTAGAGAGGCGTCAGGGATGTCATACTGATGAGTCACACTGTAGAGATCACTGTACCATTAACATTTACTCAGCCAAAGTTGGATCTCAGTAGTATGTCATCAATATGGAAAATATATTAATGGAATCTGTCTCCACAAGAAAGATGACGGTAAGGCTAAGTTGTAAAACGAAAATTGTCACATGTTGCTGTAAGGTTCTTAGTGATAACACTACATGTCCACTTTTGCAAGCCACGTATTGGTTGCTACATTTTCAAATAAACTTAATATTTCTATCAAAGCTTCTGGCTCTCGTTAGTTAAACTGTAACTATCAAGCCTAATTTGATGAGGAATATAAATTATAAACAGCAAAGAGTGTCAGTTTCCAGGCTTCCACAGCAAACTACTTATTCGTCGAGCTCGGCCCAGGCTTCTTCAGCCAGTGCATAGTACTTGTTGGCCAGTTTTCCCTTCATGGCAGCAAGTGCGAAATCACCACCTGCCGAGTACAGCTCACCCGCTACTTGAGGCTGTTTATCAAGTCCATAACCTCCTTGTTGATACAGGTTAGCTTGCTTAGCGCACAACACGTAGTTTGGGTCTGTAAAGAGGGTGTTCTGGGGATCATCGTCTTCGTACACAACATCGATGGCATTTTGATACCACTTAGCGGCTTCCACCCAGGAACGTTCCCTGAACAAACAGATTTTCAAAAATAAAGATGTGTTTCTATTCCGCCATTTCTACAAGTAAAAGATGCAAACATGTCACGAAAATGTGGTGTTTCCGTGAGGATGATTTCAATTGGTTCCACTGAAAACGAAAGTAATTGAAAAAACTCCAAGCAAATCAACCGTTTCAACCAGTTTGATGAATCAATCAAACCAAGGGAAAACAGTTTGAAAACACCCAACCAACCTAAAACGGTTGATTCCATTAGACAATAGAACACTATTATAGTTAATAATTATCGACTGAAATCGCGCAGAATATCGCCTGAATACTAAGTGACGAGGCAGAGTATCAGGTGTGTGTTATTTGACAAGCTGTCGGGAACGAAATGCATACAATGTAAATTGTGTTATTATATGGCTAGCTCCGTAAGCGGGCAAGATGAATCAAATCCTGCGCTGTAATTGGCCACCCGAGCGGGCAAGATGGAGCTATCTTGCCCGCTCGGGACTACCCGCCGTGTCCCGCAAGAAGAATTTCCGCGAAAGCCATATAATAAATCCTTTATTGACCAAGCTTGTTCGGTCAAGATGGCTGGGTATTGGCCTCGTTCTTCTTTTGCGAGTTTATGGACCTCGACTCCGTCTCGGTCCATAAACATGCAAAAAAAAGAACTTGGCCAATATCCAGCCATCTTGACCGAACAAGCTTGGTCAATAACCCATATATCATGCGTGCAAACGATATGTCGGATGACTACTGACAGGATGTCTGTCATGCATACATGACGGATCGCAAGGACGTCCTGACCATTTGCGAGGATCGTGACGATTAGTTGAGTAATATATCGCAATGAGCCAATCAGAAGCCGTGTCTACTGTCCACATATCCTGTGATATCAAGTCTGAAATGGCCTGATATTAAGTCTGATATGGTCTGATATAGTCTGACATGGCTATGATATCATGGTCACTTGGCCGAATTAAGAGTACAGTGAACACCTAATCGTATTTTTCTGACACGCTTTTGCTCGTTTGTTCTCGCCATGAGTATTCTTGCTTGACTAGGTCTCGCCAAAATACGAACCATGGCTCGACCATACTCGCCTGATTTGCTGCCGAAGCAAACCAAAAAGGTACGATTAAGTATTCTTAGTTGAGAACTCATCCTCTCCGCTATTTTAAGGCTGTGCCGTGATAGCCATTTTGCCGATCTTTCCAGCCGAGATACTACCACTAACCGGTAAATAACTCTTCAGTAAGTCGCGGGACGCCATCGATGGGATTGTTAGCCCAAAAGCTTGAGAGTGAGTGTTTTCTTTTTGAAACCAGAGACAGCACATGCAACATACAAGACAAAGCTCTGAAAGTGCTTGCCGTGCCGTACCTTTGAAAGCCCAATCCTGACCCAGATTCATATGCCTTGGCCATGTAAACCATGGCCTGCCTGTCCCCTAAAACAGCTGCCTGCAACATGTACTCCACCCCCCAGTTTGCTGCCTCGTCAGACGCCTGTCAAGGAAAGGATCAACTCCAATAAATAAATGACGAAAAGATAACATCGACTTACGCTCGACAACATATGGAAAATGTACATAAGATACACGTAAATGTGGAGAGTAAAAATCAGAGGAACGACAGATGTCACTGAAGAGCAGAATCAATCAGTAAAAAAATGAAACACAAGATGTTACAGGAGACAGACGCGAAGTTCCTTCGGAACAATATAAAAGGGTGTGAACGATAAAGAAAATTATAAATACGTGGGGAATGTCATAATTGTCCACCACGGAACAATACGCTTTACAAACAGAACTCCCAGTAGCCAGTAGCACCAGCATATGAGAGCCTTACCTCCAAAGTAGGTGATCATGTAGTTACTGCTAAAACCCAGCAAGGAGTGTTTCAAGAGACCCTGACTTGCCACAATACTTACACACCATTGACCTATTTTTATTTTGTCATTCTATCACTTCCATGGGAATAGAACTTGACTTTTCTCTCAACGTACGGCTTCACAGCTTAGTTGGTAGTGAATCACACCAGTTAAGACCGGGTGGGTTGAAATCACAGTCAAACCTGAACTTTTACTGGTTTCTTTACGATTCATTCATTACTTACCAATTTTACCACTGGAAGAAAAATTAAAAATTTCGATAATTGACAGTGTGGAATAACATTAAATACCTGAACACTCGCTGAGGCCAATATGTCATGGGGCAGTTGTAAATATATCTCAGCCATTGTAACTATAGCCGGTAAAACAGAACAAGCTGCAGCCTGCTCCAGATGAAACATGGCACAATCCATCTGCGGCTCATGGTTAGTAAAACGACCCACATCATTGTATTTAGCGAGCTCAAGGTGAACCTGTAGGAAAGATATACAACAAAAAGTTACTTTCAAAGGCAAGACAAAGTACGAGGTATTTTACTGAATTATCACTTGAAAGGCATACACAATGCTACGGGGAAAATGGTTGATTACTTGAGCGATCATGTAGCAGTGATGTATAAGTCAGTGTCTGTACTGAAATGAACGTCAGACACTAACAGGCAGCTGAAAACGCTGTTCTTGCAACATCATTGTACAGAATTTTTCACTATAACATCAAGCGCTGCAGACTCACTACATTCAGCCATATAAAACTAGTGGATAATGATGTGTCATTCACAAATCTGTCAAGGCACCACTGAGGCTGTTGTACTTAGCTTGTTCCAGGCTAACACCCTGGTGTAAAATGGGCATAATAAAATATACGTGAATGAGAAAGGGAATAAAAGAAGAAAGGACCAGGGACGGCCATATTCCATACGCTGGTGAAACACGATTGTCGATTTTCCTCTCATTGGCAGTTCCTTGATTTGAAACTTTTTAACAAGTAACTCGGCGACTCGCCCAAGTCAGGAAGAAGTTATCAGCATCAAATCTTACGACAAGTGGAAGTAAATAGAACGCAGGGTGACCTACACTATATAAAGCGACAACTTTGAAATGAGGAAAATAGCAAAAGCTCTAACTGTAACATCCAGAGCCGGGTTGTTCAAAGCGCGATTAAGCTAACCCAAGATTAGCGGGAATTTTGATCTGAGGTTTGTAACTTTGCGGTGAGGTTTTCTGTTTATATTGTTTGTCCTTTAGTGTTGAATTTGAATAATCTCAAACTACAAAAAACATACGCAGTGAAAAACATTTATATCCAAGAAAAAATTATACTTCGGTTAACTTTTAATCCTGGGTTAGCGTTAACCGGCTTTCGAACAACCCGGTCCAGCTGTTTAAGGTGTAATTCTGTGTTTATTTACCAACCTGTCCAAGAATGGAAACACTCTTATGCTTTCTCTGCTCCTCCATGCGTACTTTTTCAAGCAGTTCAACTTCAGCAAACACACTTGATGCTTTATGTACCATGTTATTTGCAAATGACTTCTTGATCTCTTCATCCTAAAAGCAAACATGAAGTACTCAAAATTGATGGGAATAAGTGTTCCTAGTGTTCGAAAAATTCAAGACTGATTCATTCAAAGTGGCTTTAATGTAGAGGTGATGTACATGGTTATTGTAAGTCGTGTTAAGCTTGTTTACGGACCTTGTTGTGTCGGACTCCATTACTATTTTACAAAACCAAAGCTGCTGGGATGTGTTTGAAACTACAACAGTTCAAAACCCACGGAGTCACGCCGGCCAGCTGTATCTTACCACCCTTCCGGCTTCGTATTCTTCTCTTGACTGCCTATTATTTTGCAAGTTCAAGAGAAAACCAAAAGTCGGATATGTGCCGGTAGATCTACGTGATATCAAGAGAGGATGAAGGGTAACAAGAAATAGGCCTTATTCTCACTTGAGGTACAAGTGAGTCCACCTCAAGCTATTTTTAGTCGTAGATCACTTCCGATTTCAGAAATTCCTGGAGAGTCTGAAAACAGCTATCCTGTCATGCAAATTTTGCTCATGTGGACTTTGGAGAACTTGGATTGAGAGGGACTTTCTTAGGAATAACGTCTGTTACCCTTTATCTCCGCTTGGTTTGAGTTCATCAAGTACAAAAATACACACCTCATTTTCAGTGAAAATGTCACTTTGATCACTTTCAGTCTCAGATGACTCTGGGTCAGAAATCTGTCGTGAATATTTTGACAATTCATTGAAAGATGACAAAGATGAACGAGGGGAGTCTGGTTCAGAGTTGGCAGGTGAAGGAGGAGGAGACTGGGCAAGGTATTCAGTCATATCAAATATAGCAGAGGAGAGTTTTCGGTGACCAGGAGAGGTACAGTCCTCACTGTTTCTGAGGATTGTGCTGGAATCCTGAATGTTTTTCAGAACGGCATCAATTCGATCCATTTCTTTTTCACTGAGGTCAAATGGAGAAAGTCCAAGGCTCTCACAGATTCTGTGAAGAGATGAGCAGCAACATAAGGCACTCACTTACCCAAAACATGCCAGCCCTTTTTGTTTTGATTTTTGTTTTGTTTTGTTTTTGTTTTGTTTTGTTTTTGTTTTGTTTTGTTTTTGTTTTTGTTTTGGAAATAAAGCTAAAGAAGTATGAAAATTGGAAGGAAAAAAACGTCACTTGAAAGTAAACAGTGACCATAGGCTTCAAGTGCAAAACCACTAAAACAATTGCCAAGCTCAAATTATGAAACCACTTGTCACTCAACAACTGTGATACAAACCCATATTTCCTTGACCAAGAAATCATACAGTATGTGTCAAATTGTTCTTGCATTTAAATTGGTTCATACTTATATAATCAACTGAAGAACAGATAAACAGATTACTCCCACTTTCAGTGTTACATGCATAGGCAACATCTTCTGACCATCTCTCAACATTCCATCTTTCGACATCCATTTACCTGAGGTGAAACTAGCAATTTTTCCGGTTATTAGCTGAACAAATGACAAGTATATGATAATTACTGACCTCAAATGAATGAAGAAGATTGTGGACTTTGCATGTTTCCCAATTTACGGGATAATTCAAACGATTTTAGTGTAGTTGATCGGCTCTCAATAGTGACTTCCGGTAGAATTGGGCCGCTACCGCTCAGTTAATATTCAAAAGATGTAAACATTCAAAGCAGTTGATTCATCTCTCACAGAATGACTTCTTGATACTCCAACATTATTCTGATGTCAAATAAATCCATTTTTCATGACAAAGTCGAGTTAAACTGTAAAGAAGTCAGTTGTGCTCACATTTTTGATGTAGGCCAGGTTACATAGCATGTCGAAAGAGGCATGTCGAAAGATAGTCACTACGCATGTAACACTGAAAGCAGGTGTGACATTTGTTTTTGTTTCCTTATTACACTGCACAAAACAGATAGATTTCATGTTGCTGTGCATCAGTGTTCAGTAATAGATCACAGAGAATGTCAAAATGTGGTAGGCCACTTTTTTGTTCGTACCACATTTATTTGACATCATCTGTGATCGATTACTAATTTCATCATAACATTGCCAAAGTAGTCTGCAGATCCACTTGGCTATCGCCTCGTGGATCCACAGCTACATTGACAATGTTATGATGAAATTTATGATCAATAACAGGACAGACGCATGAAAAACTCAGACACGTCAATTTGTTAAACAGATGCACGGCAACATGGAATCTATCTCCTAAACTTACAGTGTATATACTGTAGTCAACGGAACTAAATTAAGTTACATGACTTGTATAACATAGCAAAGATCAGAATGCATAACTTACTTGTTACATTTATGAGAACTGAAAAAAAGTGCCATTCCCCTTGGACCCAAATTGGCATCACCATAATCCTTTCCATCTGCTGTATGAATCTGTGGGTCTGTGTACAGGTCACCAACACCTAAAATGAGACGAAAGAACGTTCATGCTTTTTTCTGATATCAGAAAGGGTGAAATCATCATCCACATCATCATTCACATCTTTTGACACTTGACAGGAAGCTTACCCTCAACCTGACAATTCTTGCCTTCTACAGTATTATCTATAATTGTTCATTAAATTAGCTTTAGGCCCTCAGATGGGCTGAACAATGTAAAATAACATATTGTGTAGTTCCAGAAAATATCCATACCTCCCCCACGGAAGGGATTTTTTCCAAGACCCCCCAGCCCCTCTGGAAATTCCAATTAAACTCGATCCATTTCTTTAAATTTTTTGTCTTAGAGAACCCCCCACCTCCCAGGAAATTCCAATCCCTTCTGTGGGGGGAGTATGGATATTTTCTGGTACTGCACATTTTTACTACATGACTGTATATTTAATCAAAGTTATCTATATAATGGAATATCTCACCTTGAATATCAACCACAATTAACTGATGACCAGACCTCTCAAATGTAAAATGGCTAAATGCCTGTGAATAAATAATAATATGGTAATCAATTTTGAATTTAGAATAATTTATGAATTTATTGTACTTAGCCTCTTCCAGGCATTCAAGTACTTGGGGGGCAGCACAAAAAACAGCGTGCAAAAAAATAAAAAGTGCGGCAAGACGAAGCGCTTCCTATCACCACTTTTTTTAAAAATTTTTTCACACGCTGTTCTTTGTGCTGCGCCCCAACTAACCGAATGCCTGGAAGAGGCTTATTTAACTAAGTCTGAATACAGTCAGTCCCCCTTAATACAAACACATCTAGTAAGATATACTCTTCAATTACTGTACCTGAGGAGAACAGCGGAGAGTTTCATCCCACAACACATAGCCAGAGTTTGAGTTGTACTTAATATATTTTCCTTCAATAAAATGCTCCAAGTGAAACAATGGTGACCCTTCTCTGTCCTTCATTTCAATAACACAAACCTGGAAGATATCCACCTGTTGGCAAAAACAAATTATTCAAAGTCATAATTGACATTTATACACAGCAGCCAACTTGAAAACAGCTCTCAACAATTTCACTTTCAACAAAGTGTAACTTGGGCATGTTGCTAGGAAAGACACACTCATGACATACATGTATGTCATTTTGTTCAAAATTAATATAACTTTTTACACTAGACAACCCTGTATCAATGTCTGCGGAGCTATTATTAAATCCGTTTGGATTTACATGTACAGTAATAACCCAAGACAAAATGTGCTGAATGAGAAGTTTTATTGGATGACTGATGCAAGGATGATGTCAATAACAACATTTTGTTTCTTTATTGAATAAAACCAATAGATTCCATGTTGCCGTGTGTCTGTTCAGTGATCACAGATTTATATGTCAAAATTTGGTAATCTGAACATCAGTGACACACTCATTTCACGGCTTGTGTGCCTCACTTTTTGTTTCTACCACATTTTGATGTCATTTGTGATCTATTACTGAACATATTTATGGCAACATGGAATCTATTTGTTAAGTAGATGACACTGGTCTTAAGCTTTCTCAGTCTGGAAAATGTGATAATTTACAACATTCAACAGTTCTCCTTGTTTCCTTGTTATTCAAAAACTTCATTCATTTGGTAAATGTTCATCCAAGTGGCCTAGTTAGTAAGTTAACAAACCTTTTTTGGTGGGTTGTATCTATTATACTCTTCTCCCCAGAGCTTAGCATCCATTTGGAGTCTCACATCATCAAAATAGACAACTCTGCTAACTGCATCAATGTACTGTTTGCATACATAGTTTGCTGCATGCTTCCAATTCATGTGTTTTGAGAAATTTGATAACTTCTTCCTGTGATAGAAAAGGTGCATGGCTTAGTTTTATCACCTACATGTGAAAACAATTTCAATTCACTCTGGATTTCTGATGAATGAATTCAAACCTGGACAAACAAACAGGTAAGCACATAGTTCAACATATTGCTACTCACAATGATAGGGGTGGTGAATAATCCTTCAAAAACCATGAGCCTCGCAAAATTTTTGTTGAATTTCACAGGTCTCATTGTCTCATTTTTTTGGTGCATCTTACATCTCGCAGTCTTGACTTTTGTTTTTACATTAGCTGTCTTAGAGTCTCAATATTTACAAGGCTAGGAAAGTCTTGAAGTCCTGATTTGTTTGTTCAAGTTATAAAAGAAATCTGGAGGTCTAAGAGTCTGGCACTCGCATTTAAAACACTTTGAAGTCTTGGTCTCGCAATTTAAAAAGTCAAAATGACTAACCCTAAATCTAAGCTAACATTATTGCACTCCCAAGAGTGTAATAATGCAATTATCACCCCAGTCTTATTATGCAGCATACTCTAAATCCACCTACAGTAGGTAATCATTACAGAAATGAAATGATATTTCTCTGTGAAATAGCTCCTTGTTGTAGCTAACTTTACAACCCTAAATTCAAAACCAAATGTGGCTTTATTAATTAGAAAATGTTACGTTATTTTATTGGATGCACTGGGTGTTATACAAGAGTATCACAACGATGCTAGATTGACTTATTTGGCAATAGTTATTAAGTACTTACAATCTGAAACACTCCCTCATTGCTCCTTGATCAAATGGCTACAATGAAATAAATGCAGCAATTGGACTCAGCCATAGGCTACAAAGTCATTGGCTGGAGTACTTTAAACTTTTCCCTTTCAACAGCATGTTTAGGTAGTGTTGTAAAGAGATGTTTGTAACAAATGGACGGTGACATTTACAACTGGTTCAGCTCACTGTAGTATTGGCTATAAACCTCTTAATACTACACAAAATACCCTGGAGGCAGTTCTCTATTTTCCAATTGCCCATAATTCACTCTATTTGCCCCCCACATTTTACACATTTTGTATTAGAAACCAAGCCAGATGTACAATATTATGTAGATGTAAGAGTCTAAAGGTACAGAAAGCCTTGGTTTAAACTAAGTCTTGCACAATGTGTAGTTCCAGAAAATATCCATATTCCTCCCACCTCTGGAGACTATTTTGGTTTCAGGCCTGTCCCCCCACCCCCCAAAAAATTCCTCTGGAAATTCTAGTTTTGTTTCAACCTTTCCTTTAAAAGTTTTGGCTTTTGAGACCCCCTTGGGGTAAGTATGGATATTTTCTGTTGCCAGCCACCTTGAAGGGAAGAGAATTCTTTAGACACTTGACATTTCTGATATTAATGATCCTCCCTGTTGCCCATCTTGATGCTGTTGTCAGCAGATGTCCTCTGATGTTACTATCTTGTGCTTACTCTTTTCATCACCAGTCCAGTGTGAACCAGGTGTAAAAATATGCAAAATTATATAACAACTCAAAGAACAACTCACCAATGACTCCATTTTGACTCTCACTTCATCCTGTACCCAGTTCTTTTTCAATGCATTATACCGATGTCTTATAGCAACTTCTGTAGGACAGGAATCATCAATGTGAAACTTTTCCCATGGATCTGGCAAACTTTTTGCTTTTTTTAGAGCATTCTGCCAACTTAAATGGTGCTGCAGTTTTGGATGAGTTTTTTTACCATCTTTAGCTACCTCCTGGTTTACAGAATTAGTCTGTTTTAGCGGACCATCAGTTGTAACATCTTTACGCTGATCATTAGTTCCTTCAGCTGTGACATTATCATCTGTTAATGATCCAATTTCATCGTTCCAATCATCCACCATTTTTTTGTCCAATTTGTTGCAGCTTTCACAACCTGATTCCATTGCTTTTCCATAATTACATCTGTTTTCACTCATGAGACTTCCACTTGAAGCACTTCTGTTATGGAACATGGCATTTAATTATTATGTGAGGATGTGATAACCATTGCCCACTAATGTTTACACTATTTAAATATAATTTTCTGCAATATATAAAAAAGAGGAAATTTAATTTTTAGTGATGCTTTTGGGGGGATATTTGGACGTCATTATGGTCTACCTTCCAAGGATCTTCAAAGATCTTCATATATAAATTATACACTGAGGTCTTCAAAGTAATCTTGCAGGAACCTATACAGAAATGCAGCTTTTATTAGCAACTGAGAAGAAAATATTCCTCAGTAAATACTAACTGTTTTTCAAACAAGAAACTATCAGAAACCAAGATGTAAACAAATTCCCAGACCAATTCAACTACATCATCACAGACAGTTGTTTACTTCTCAGTCACCAAACCAATTTCTTGGTACAT